TGTCACCCTGCTTATTTAATTTATATGCAGAGTACATCATGCAAAATGCCGGGCTGGATGAAGCAAGCTGGAATCAAGATTGCCAGGAGAAGTATCAATAACCTCAGATATGCAGATGACACCACCCTTATGGCAGGAAGCAAAGAAGTAAAGAGCCTCTTGATGAAAGTGAAAGAAGAGAGTGAAAAAGCTGGTTTAAAACTCAACATTCAGAAAACTAAGATCATGGCATCTGGTCCCATCACTTCATGGCAAATAGATGGGGAAACAATGGAAACAGTGAGAGACTTTACTTTTCTAGGCTCCAAAATCACTGCAGATGGTGACTGCAGCCATGAAATAAAAGACACTCCTTGGAAGAAAAGCTATGGGAAATCTAGACAGCATATTAAAAAGCAGAGACATCACTTTGCTGAAAATGATCCGTCTAGTCAAAGCTAAGGTTTTTCTGGTAGTCATGTATAGATGTGTGAGTTGGGACTATAAAGAAAGAGGAGTGCTGAAGAATTTATGCTTTTGAACTGTGGTGTTGGACAAGACTCTTGAGAGTCACTTGGACTGCGAGGAGAGCAAACCAGTCAATCTAAAGAAAATCAGTCCCAAATATTAACTAGAAGCACTGATGCTGAAGCTGAAACTCCAATACTTTGACCACCTGATGCAAAGAACTGATTGGAAAAGACCCTGATGCTGAGAAAGATTGAAGGCAGGAGAAGAAGGAGATGACAGAGGATAAGATGGTTGGATGGCATCACCAATTCAAAGGGCATGAGTTTGAGCAAGCTCTGGGAGAAGGTGATAACAGGAAAGCCTGGCATGCTACAGTCCATGGGGTCACAAGGAATCAGACACAACTGAGCGACTGAACTGAACTGACTGTAATATCCAAGGGACCCAGTGGAAGAGACTAAGGAATTGGGGGGTAGGGGGGAGGCTTACATTTAAGAGATGAGGTTGTAAATGAACACAGCAAAGTGTCAGGTATGAGAGTCCAGGATGTGATAGATGCTCTGGAGCCCATCTTGTGGCAGGAAGAAGGATTGATGGCTCAGGGCAGAGGGTGGTATTGGAGTGGGTAGCCATTCCCTTCTCCAGGGTATCTTCCTGACCCAGGGATCAAACCCGAGTCTCTTGCATTGCAATCAGATTCTTTACTGTCTGAGCCACCAGAGGAGCCCCCAAAAGGATTATTGTCTCAGGGCATAGGGTAGGGTGTGAGTTACATACATTGGTGGAGGAAGAAGAGGTTCTTACAAGGAGCCCACAGAATTCCAGGACTCCCTTTATGTCTGGATGCTCTCTGCCTTCATCCTCACTCCTCTAGCAGAAGCACGAGCAGAAAGGGGCAGGCTGCAGGGCATATAGAGCTCCCTTCTTGGACTCACCGAAGTGGAGGTGACTTTGTGGCCAGGACACCATGCAGATAATACACCTGCTGTGTTACCTCTTGCCATGAACAAATAACTCCAAGACTCAGTGGCTTAAAATAGCATTTTTTATGGGTCAGGAACCAAAATAGATGTAACTTGTTACCTCTATCTCCAGATCTCTCCAGAGCTGCAATTAATGCATTAGCAGGAGCTCAGATCATTTTTGAGTTGAGGCTTGGCTTGGGGGTTGGTCCTTTTCCAGGCTCACTCAGGAAGTTGTTGGCAGGATTTGGTCACTCATAGCTGTTGGATTGAGGGCTTCAGTTCTTCTTCACTGACTGTTGGCCAAAGGCCTCCCTTGGTTCCCTGCCATGTGAGTCTCTCCATAAGGCGGCTCCAGCATGGCAGCTGGCTTCATTAGCAAGAGAGAGGGTGGGAGCAACACAGAAGTCAACCTTTTGTTCTCCAATCTCAGAAGCAATATCCCATCACTTTTGCCTCATTCAGTTCATTAGAGGAAAGTCACAAGATCTAGCTACTCTAAAAGGTAGGGTGTTACAACAAGGGTATGAATTTAAGGAGGCAGGTGTCACTGAGATCCATGTCCGAAAGCTGCCCCACCCTGAACCAAACACTGACAACAAGGAGATTAGAACTGGCTTAAACCAGTCAGGTTCTGCCCATCCCTGACACTGGAGTCAAGTCCCCAGATCACAAGGATGTCACATGGTTGTGGGGAGGAAGAAAGGACAGTAAGTGTGGGGTGGACAGCGGGAGGGTTCACTGTAGCCACTAACCAGTATTCATACCTTTATTCTTCTGACTCGGGACCTGTTCTTTCTACCATCTGGTGCTGCTGGTGCCCTCCACATCAGGCCCAGTCTCCTGATTTCCGCGTAAAATGGCCTTATCACTCTGACTTTAGTTTATCTTTTCAGCCTCACTTTTCACCATTCACTCTCATTTATTCCAAGCCAGTGGTTTATCAAGGTTTTTGGTCTCAGGACCCCTTTACTACTCTTAGAAGTTATTGAGGGCCTCAAAGAGTTTTTGTTATAGTTATTGATATTTACTTAATTAGAAATAAAAATAAAATTTTAAGGATATTTATTTACTTTAAAATAATAGTAAACCGATTACTTAAAATAACACATTTTTGTGAAAAATAAATACATTTCCCCAAAAAAAAGTTCTTGAGAAAAATTATATGCTTTTTTACATTTAAAAATATATATATCTTTAATATCTGCTTTAATAGAAACTCTCAGGCCATATTCTCATATCTACTTCTGGATTCAGACTGTTGTGATATGTTATTTTGGTTGAAATATAAGAAGAAAATGTGGTCTTCCATAGACATGCAGTTGAAGATGGAGATAGGAATATTTTAATAGTCTATTCAGGTCATTGTGTGTATTCTTTAATATTACACCAATTCTGTGAGTGGTCATTTCTTGGAGGTTAGTTGCAGTGTCGAATCTGAACCTTTTATATTCTGTCTGGTTAAAACCCATTGGACCATCTGGCACTATGAATCTCTTCTCAAATTTGGAAAATATTTGTTCCCTGAGTTACTTAAGTTTTCCAAATATTTCACTATGAAATCTTTTTAATCACATTTTAAATATCACTATCTATCTTGTCCAAAAAAATCTTTACATTTTGGGAAGCTGATGATTGTAGAGAGGATTTAAGTTTTCTAGAATCCTAATCTTCACTTAAAAGCCCAAATTTTATCATTGGCAACGAATACTGTCAGTCATTTTCCATGAAGTAATAGGCTCGTTTCATTTATTTTTGACAAAATGCAAAATACCCAAGTCTGAATAACCATAGTTTATCTGCCATATTTCCAAGAAAAATTGGTGCTCCATAAAAAGACCCTGTGACTTCTCCAGCCTGTAACTTCTGCTTACTATGTTCTGGGTGTCCTTCAGCCTGTTAGTGTACCTCACATTGAAATGCCTCAGGAGAGAACCCAGTGGATTAGCCAGCCATTGTGCAGTATGAAACTGGTGTGGCGCTGAGCATGGCAGCCAGTGCATAAAGGCACAAGTTCTAGCTGCTTATGTGGAGGAGATTTGCAGTCTAGCAAACAGAACACTACTCAGAACATCCACCAGTGTGAATGAGCAAGGTATTTTTTTCATATGCAGATGCAGATAGATTGATTATGGTATGAGAAGTTAAAAAATTAATTTGTAATTTGACTTTATTAATATAACCCATTTAATAGTACCTCCACCCAAAAAGCATGTCCTTAAAGTTATAGCCACATTCTGCTACCACTTTCACTTTGTTGGGGGCACTAATAATATTCTGAGGCTACCATCAGACCGTGTATTTTAAAAATATTCTTCAACATGGATTGAGTAGTTGTTACTATGAATTTTCTACCAATGCAAACATTCTATGTATTGAATGTATTGCCTTTCACATTAATATTAATAAAAAGACATTGTTAAAGAAGTTTCTTTGGTTGATTCAACAATTTTTCGTTGTTTTAATGGGTGTTTTCCTCCTTCACAAGGGAGGGAAATCCTCTTAAGGCCTGTGAGTATGATCTTATTTCTAGCGCTTTTCTTTGTTAATAAATAATGAGGAGTCACCAGGCACTGTATCCTGCAAGTGCATAGATTTTAAATGTAATGTTTTTTTAAGATTGGCTTTCTCATTTTGGTAAGAACAAAGAAGACTAAGAAATGTATTTATGCTATTATGAAGGGATAGTAGGTTTAGAAACTTTTCTATTTGAAGGTTCTGGAATTAGTTGTATATTATGTATGGTGCAGGGTAGAGGTTGGCTACATTAGTGAAAAACATCCCCATGAATGACCACATGCCTCCTTCAAACAAGTTCATTCACTTAGTGAAGTAAAGAGCTGAAGCAGGCTGTTTTCAGAAAAAGTATTGGGTGCCCAAGTTCCCTCTTTCATTTATCCCACAGGAACAGTAACAAGGGGGTTAATGTATTTGGGTTAATGGTAAAGAAAACAAAAATAGCGTGCCAGTGGGGAAATGTAACCTGACACAATTAAAAGTGGGACCCAAACTAAAACACAATCCTTTTAGGAAATGGCAGTATTTTATCTCTGTCAAATGGAAGCAATCTAAACTTTAACAAAAATCTTGGCTTCCTTTCTCTTTGTATATCTTGACTTAATATTATAAACTCTTGTATTTCACTGAGCCGTACTGTCACAAGTAATTAAGTTATAAATATTACACAGAATAATTTGCAACTCTGCAAATACTTTTAAAATTTTAAGAAATTTACCTTTCTTTGTAATACCAGAATCCTCATAAAGATGGATTATCTCCATTTCCCCCTTAATTTTATGTATCCCAGCAATGCATTGTCCTGGAGTTTTACAGAATGCACACTACTCACTGTGTCCTGCCAGACAATAGACAAAGTTTACACTAAAAATGCCCTAGTTTTTCCTTTAGCTTTTTGCACTGATTGGTATAAAGCAAACTCTCAGAGACTATTCTTGCTAAGTATTGTTAATGCTGCAATGCAGATTGGAATCTCAGAAAATCCAGGTATATACTATAAAGATGTGGGTAGCTTATATTGTTAATATCTAAAATCATCTAAAGGCTTGTTTTCTTTGTGTTTTTTTCCAGACCTAACTATCATAATGAATGCTGCATACTAAGAAAACCCAAGAAGGTTATACGTTTGGTTGTCCAATATTCTCGGATTTGATATGAACCAACACATAGTCCTTGTTATCATTGACAGAACCCCAGTTTGTATGTACATTATTCACATTCCTCTCTGATGTGTTTGGGGGAAAAAAAGACATTTTAGCCTTTTTTAAGGTTATTGACTTAATTTCATGTTATTTGGTTGCATGAAGTTGCCCTTAACCACTAAGGATTATCAAGATTTTTGCACAAGCTCATACAAGTCTAGGATCCTTTATCAAGGCAGTTATGTTCATCACTCTTCTGCCTTTTATTCCACCATCACCAAACACTCAGTTAAATATAAATTAGCATTTTTTTAAAAGGACCACTCAACATAATGCTTAAGGGATTTCTTCTCTGTGACAGAACCCAGGAACCAATTCCTAGATACATAATGTTGGCATATTGAAGGTGAACTTAAAATTGTCCTTCAGGTTTGAGGCCATGTGTAAAGTTGAATCATACTGTAAAATACCTATTCCGTATTAGAAATAGCTAGTTGACAACTTATACTTCTCAAAACTCATGTTGTTACGTACACAAACTCAGTTTCTATATGTGAAGTTAAGTGAGTCTTTTGTGTTACTCCAAGATAAAGGCAATGATTTATTTTCTCCCAATGCCAATACAATTTGAGCTAATCACTCAAGCTGGATACTTTACATTTTAAAGCTGGACTCAGCAGTAGCCCTATGGGAAGTAAGACAAAGCATTGACTTTTAAATATAGACTTTTAAACCATTTGTTGTTTTCTTTTGGAACTAGAATTAGAATAGTTAATACTCATCCACAAACCATTATTATGTGTACATTATTGTTGCAATTGTGATAATAGAAAATTTTATTTATTTTTATGCCAACTTATATTGTGAGAACACATTTAGTCAGTTTGGGTTTTATCAATCCTGTTATGCTTGTCCTTGGAACATCTTTCGCGTATTCGAGGTTTGTAGTTGAAAAGTTTACTGTAAAAAAAAAATCAAAAACAAAAAAATGTATTGTTTTTACAGAATAAATTTATTGGAATGTGTACTGGGAGTAAGAGTTGAGGTTGTAAACAACTAAGTTAGTGTAATTTGGCTTCATATATGTAATGTGAGGTATTAATGTAATTCATATATTAAAGCAAAAATTGTTAACAGCAAGCTGATAAGAGAACAAGTGCAGGTGAGGCTTTTTCTTTTTTTTTTTAAACACTCTGGGTTTTAGGGCTTGTGTTTGTTTTTTTTTAACACTGGGGGGTAGGGAGAGGAACTGGCTACATGACTGCTTGCATATCTATGTTACTTACCAGTTTAGTGGACCCCTAAATTCACACTGGACATTATCCATGCACTGATCTAGATACCATTTTCTTTTAGGTTTTCTTATTTTGGTGACGAGCTAGTAAATAGCATGAAGGAGAAAATGTGAGTAGTTCTGAAAGCTTAGGGCTATTAGTGATGATGCTGGTGATGATGGGAGTGGTGATGATGGCACCTGAGGGCATAAGATCCACTTACCACTCCTGGGCACTGAGGAGGCGGCTGTGTTTTGGGTTTGTTTCTCTCATTTAGCAAATACTGATTTTCCTTTATTATACTCGACTCAAGCTTCCACATGATGAACAGTTCATTTAAAAGACAGTAGGAATGCCAATCCAGTTCTTTGTCCTTACAAGGTACTTTTTAATTTTGAATATTTTAATTTAAAATCAAGGAAATTTAATTAATTCATCAAAAGTCCTCTTCATCACTCACACTAAAACATAAGGAGAACGTAGATGACATTTCGAATTGGAACATATGACTGACAGATTTTTAAAACAGAAAAGCTAAAGACCACAGAACTTTTTCTGAAAAAGAAAATACACAAAATGTTTCAAATTTCATAAGATTTGTCTTCATAAAAGGCTAAAAATAATTTATTAAAAATATATACAGAAACACAATAGAAATATTTCCAGTCACCAGTAAAATAAAGGTAATAATAAAGTTATAGATCCCTTCTTAGCTGTTTAGACTCAATAGAAAATTTCAGTGAAATGGGAAAAAAAATTTTTTTCAGTGAAAGCAGTTTTTGAAACAGCAGTGAATAATTCACTTTCCCTGGGAAAACACTTTTCAAACAACATTTTTAAATGTTCGGATAATTTGTCTTTTATAATGAGGTTGATCATAAAGCGTATACATCTTATATGCAAAAATATTTCTCCAATCTGTATTTGCTAGTTTGAAATTTTTAATATGCATAGGCCATTTTCACTTTCAAATAGTTTCCTTTTCATGTCATTATTATAGGAACTAAATTTAATTTTTCACACTTACATTTAATATATGCAAACAGAATATTGAGATAGGTGGTTGTTTATTCACAAATACCTTGAAATGTATCTCTTTAAACAGACTTTCTGAATAACTTCAATTTTCCTTCAAAAAAATATTTACCCACATAATTCCTATGGTACAGAGTACAGAGCAAGAATTGATGTATTCATAAATGTTCCTGTACGAGAAGAATGGGACCACACATAGGTACCAAGATAGCAAAAGTCAGTCATCTGGAGAGAAAGAACATAAAACAATGTTTTTATTCAACTTTTTCTTCTGCCTTTGTTTTTATGAAGAATTCGGGTCTGTAGATACAGCGATAGGCCAGGAGCTGGGGAAGAACTCCATATGCTATGTTTAAGGCTAAAAAAATGATTTTCGCTTCTTCAGGGACTCTGTAGACATAAGCAGTTCTAGCATGAAGAGAAGCACCGATGTGAGAAAACTGAGCCTGTCATGTTTGGAAAAAAAAACAAGGGGGTGGGGTAAGCATGAGCTCTGCGTTCAGTTGGACACACATGCGTTCCTAACGGTCCATTCAGACCACACTCCTGTGCCCTCAAAACCAGATTTTCAAACAATCTAGAATCCTCAATATCTCATTGAACTTGGGGCCAGTCTTGATATAACCATTCAAATAAAGTAAGCCACCTTTAGCATGTCTTTATCAGGCTAACTGATTTTTAACCCATCTAGTGCCCACCCTGCCCAGCCCCATACCAAACAGCAGTGGCTCAATTTACAAAAGAAAAGTCTGAATAAAATATGCCTTGTCCTGATTTGCATTCTGGAGATATCCTATATAGGAACTCAGCTGTGGCTCACACAATGTGTTCTAGTAAAAATGAAGCAAGTACAGAGATTAGACAGCTGAAATATTTTTAGCATAGCTATTTAAAGAGAAGCTCTGAAAACCTCAGCTTCATTTATATCAATTCTTTCACCTACTCCTTGGAGCAAGAGCTCAAAGCCCTTCATTATGCATTTTGCTTGTTTTTTTACTTGTATATTTGTTTTTCATGCAACTTAAAAAATACTAAGGGTTGTTTTGTAAGATATGGTGGGGGTACGGATTTGTTTGCTCTTTTATAAAATGGCAAATGTACACACAGGCAACTTTTTCACATCAAATTATTGAGACGTCCAGCTTGTCAGCATAAGCTGAATTTACAAAACAGACAGGCAAGCACTTCCCACTTGTACTTAGATACCTGCTTAGAACATACATTCCAGAATGTGCCGATTGGCCTTTTTTGATACTTTTCATAAGCACAGGTGAAAATTGTATTAGAAAAAGGCTTCTGTGAAAGTATTTCCTCAGGATCCTTGTATCATTACAAAATGCAGCCCTGGAGTCTTTACTTCATATCATAACTGAATATACATGAATAAAGGGTTGGGAATTTAAATGTAGTAAGTGGTGACTTATTAGTTTATCAGGATCAGAGCAAAGAGACAAAAGGTAAAAGGACAGAAATCATGAGAATGAAAATGAAATAACTTGCTTTAAATACGTACAAGTTATCTTACATTTCCTTCCATATGAAATCAGTTTATCCTGCTAAGTGATTAACAGAACAAAAGTGTTACTTAGCACTTGACTTTATGACAAGAAAAGGACAAGTTTTCATAAAGCAGTTATGTATACGGATGGTATCAGCAACAGGTATTTTGACAGGTAACATTTTTATAAAATTCCTGATACTTCCTGGGGGTGTCTGGTAGTCTTGTTCTTCTCTGGAAATAGGCATTAAATTAGTGTGAGTGGTATGTTGCCAAGGACAAAGGCCAGTACCGAGGCAGGAATCATCTGGTGATCTGTGAGCCACTGAGAGGGCTTTATCCTCAAACACACCACCCCTAGGGCCAATGCCCAAACACAACCCACCAAATGCTAAGCACTTCATCTCTGGCTGTGAAAACAAAAGAGTTAAGGGCCTTTGAAAGGCTGCCCTGAGGACCTGCTCTTGTGGACATTCTAAGAACCCCCAACAGGAACTTGGCCCCCATCACTATTTTTTTTTCCCAGGGCCAATTTTGAATAAAAATATTTTTCTGAATATATAATCAGACTTTTTTTTCTGGACTAGGTGCCATATTTGACCCCTGATTTTCAGAAATGTGCATTTGGTATCTATCTTTTCAGACTTACATAAATCTCAAATCAAATTTGGGGAAATGCAAATCACAGTTTAAGAGAATAATATGAGCCGTCATGCCTACTTGCATAGGGAACCTGCTTAAAAAGTCTAATATCATAGGCTCCTTTCCTGCACTGACCAGTGCAGTTAATACCTCATTTTCACAAACAGCAAACTCATGGGAACATTAAAAAATGATCATGTCCTTTAGATTAGATTGTAAGCCCACCGGGCAGGTACTGTGTCTGAATTTTTGTGTGGCACCTCTCACATTGTTAGAGCTCAATAAACGTTCAACAGTAATGGTCTTGTGACTGTCAAAATACAAAAAGCTTCTACAAGGAATTTCTCTATTTTTATACCTATTTTAGTAGGCCTTTTGCTTCAGAATTATTTAATAAGGGGCAGAGGTGATCGAACCCAGGTCTTCTGCAGGCAGATCCTTTACCATCTGAGCCACCAGGGAAGCCCAAGATGATTGCATTTCTAGTTAAAAGAGGTATGTAATTGAGAGAGAAGGCCTGAGGCCAGTCTTCTGCAGTATCTGGTACTGCTCATAGTTCTGACAGTGTATTTAGAGTGGCCTCACCTCTACCAGAGTGAACAGCCCAACCACAGCTTCCTCCCAAAGCATATGCTGTCTGGTTTCCGGGATGCTGAAGTTTCAAAAGACCCTCAGTCTCACTTGAGAAGGGTTCCCTTCGAAGTACACAGCTGAGAAGGGGCTGCACTGAGCTTCCTGGTGATGTTCCCACCAGCACACAAGACCTCCTTAGAACAGAGCCTGGAGAGCTCAACCGAGCACCCTGCTAGCATCTGGTGACCCGGTGACCTTATTGCTTCTGAATTGACTCATGGCCAGGATCATAGGTACAAGTTATGGGTCCCAGAAATTCCTCCAGAATTCAGTGATGTGAGGTTGAGCACCTCATCATTTTTCCTAAACTTCATTCTAATCATTTTTTACCTTAATTAAGAGATTATGATTTTTAAAGAATGAATGGTTGGGATGGAAAATGAGGCAATAAAGGCAAAAAAAAAAAAAAAGGCTTATTTTAATAGCTCTTGTTTTCTTACAGAGACAGCCTGGAAAGAATTTGAATAAAAATCCCAATCTTAGTTCCAGAAAAGAGAACTGAGTTTTGTGTATCCATGTAAAAATGTAGGCAAAAATGAATGTGAACGTGGTAACAACAGCCAGGCTATTTGGCTGATACGGTATAAGTAGCTAATTGAGAACTGTGTTACTGTTTCTTAGGGTTTTCTGAACACCATAGTCTTGGGGTTAAGAACACTGAATCTGGAAACAGACTGAAAGTGTCAAATCCCAATTCCACCAAAAACCAGCAATGTGACCTTGTGTTAAGTATGTAACTACCTCTGGCTCCTCGCCTGAAAAGCAAGATAATAATGGAGCCCGCCTCATAGGATTGTTATACAGGTTCAATGGCTTGATCTCTTGTCAGGTGCTTAGGACAGTGCCAAGCACATGGAGTTCTTCCACAGACAGAAAACCCAGCTGAAACGCTTGTTCGTGAGCTGGCACCCTACTTGGTTGAAAACCCAGGCGCATGTTTTTAGATTCCCTTGCTGATCTTTTGACAATGCCAAGACTGCGTGTCTCCACCAAAGGTTAAGAAGCATGTAAAGACAATAAACCCAAACTGTAGTTTCAATACTAAATGAAGATGTTTAGAGGTGAATCAGCATCAGAAGCAAATGATTAAAATGAGATTTGTAATTAGTATACCAATTACTCGTGTTCTTTCTAAACCTTTAGTCTCAAATGTTTCTTAAAGGTTTCCATAAAGGAAAAAACTTACAGAATTTGCCTCCCAGTATAGTCGACTCTGGACAACCAAGTTACCCACAGATAAGCCTCCAGACCCTTTTGTGAGACAGTACATGGCACCTGAATAGACAGGGGGCAAGGGAGTCTGAACCCAGTGGGAAGGGTCATGTGTTGCCTCTATGGCTGTGGCCTGCTTGCTGAATGGCTTGGCAGGCTCCCAGCCACACCCACTGTGAATATGTCCCACAGCTGCTTCCAGTTTCTCTGATGTTTAGGTAACTATACACAACACACAGAGCTACAAATGCACATATCTTCTGAGCAACATAAGGCATTTCTCGAAACTTTCACTGGGGATGCAACAAAGAGGCCCACAGCTTTTGATGTGCCAGGCACTGCTCTACACCCTCTGCAAAGATTACCTCGTGTAAGCCTTGCAGCAACTCTATGAGGAAGGTACTATTACTTAACAGAAGAGGAAACAATCAAAGAGGTTAAGTAACCAAGGTCACTGAACTAATCAGTGACAGACTGAGAGCTAAACCAGTCTGCCCCCAGAGCTCATGTTCTTAACCATATTAACTACATCTTTTCAGTGCTATTTTAGAAGAAAAAAATTCTTCCACTGATAGAAATTGCAAATAAGTAGATCTAAGCAGCCTGTAATAAAGTTCATATGGGTTTCCAAAATATCTTAAAGGAAAACCCAAGCGAACTTTTTGGCCAACTCAATACTTTTCAAATTAGACTTGAAACTTTAATTTTACATGGAAAGAGACTTGGGTTAAGAATAAGTCCCCAGTGGGATTCTTTGGTACCAAATGTGTCCTGGTTTTATTATATTTTACTTTAGCTCGTGATTTATCTTCTGATTTCTGAAGGCAGCAGGCTTGGCAGATTCCTAAATGGTCTGAAACTAGGGCTCTCATAACTACTAGCCATGTCTTCTGTTGACTTGTACTGACTTAGAAGCTTTTCAAAGATTTTTTTTCTTAAGTCGCAGGTTCTTGGGAGTTCACTAGATCTTTCGGTAAAAGCAGATTTTTATAAATTCAGTGGGATCATGAATCCATAAAGCTTCTAAATCAGGAGTGGTAGTTTTTACAAGCTAGGGGTGCCAGTCAAGCCTATGGAGAGTGCTTCTATGAAGAGTGTCAAATATCCTCTCACAATGAGAATTCATTTCATAAACAAGTATTTGCCAAGCAGAAAAGAAATCACACGATGGTAATTCAGCATTCTCACTGTCTGCACTGTCTTGTTGCAGTGTGATTTCTAGGTCTTCCTGAGGCTAAATAGGTAGCTGTTACAGCCCAGCTAGGAGCTATGGGTATGTCAGACACATGATTCTTGGGTTACCCCTGTTCTGCTGGTTAGGAGAAACATCCTTCTGACACCTATAGGATCCGGTTCACAGCCTCAGGCTACCTTTACAAATCCGTTGGTGAGGGATGAGCCCAAAGATTTCTGCAAGGCCTGGGGTATGGCTAAAACCACCACTGCCGCCGCTGTTTGCTCTGCTCTCCACACTACCTTTCCCAGGACTTCTGCTAGAGTCGTGGGCTTCCCTGGTGGCTCAGTCAGTAAAGAATATGCCTGCGATGCAGGAGACCTGGGTTCGATCCCTGGGTCGGGAAGATCCCCTGGAGAAGGGAATGGCAACCCACCCTAGTATTCTTTCCTGGGAAATCCATGGACAGAGGAACCTGGTGGGCTACAGTCCATGGGTTCACAATCAGTCGGACACGACTTGGTGACTAAAGCACCACCACCACGTGCTAGAGTCCCAGGTGCCTGTCTGCCAGTTCAGCCTAGCTGGCAGGTACAGTGTACAGTGTGGGGGTGGTCTTAACTGTTACAGGTTGAAGCACCTGTTCACCCCAAGCTCTGTCCATCCTAAGCCTCCTGACTGCTGACCCTATGCATGACTAGGCCTTGGCTGAGGGCTTCCTGCCTAGTTCTCTGGTTGTCTCCTGAGATCTGACCAGGCCCAGGACTTGGCCTCACTCCTACCAGCCTCCTGACTGGTGACACTCAGTGTTCCTGCATCAGGGCCTGGTGCGGGGCAGACCGGGTGACACAGCATGCAGAGAAAGCCAGCCTGGGCAGGCAGAGCACACGGACAGTGAGGAGATGCTGCACCCTGAACAGTCTAATCAAGGGACCGGTAAGAGCTAGGGGAGGCCCTCAGCACCCTCTGGCTGCTGCACACGCCCGCATTTAAAGGCTTCCTCAGTCTTTTCAAATCTAATCAGCCCACAAAGCCCAGAGCTCAGGTGTCACTGCCTTCCACCCCCAGCAGGTCCTCTGCCTCATCCATGCCATGTACAAAGCCCTATTCTATGCTGTAGGATGCTGGAGCTTAATTCACTGTCTGTAAGAGGAAAGGGACAGCACAGTGGGGAAGAAGATGGGCTCCGGGGCCACATGGGATTCTGAATTCCTCTTCTGCCACTTAGTAATGTTGTGACCTTAGGCAAGTAACAACTAGCCTGAGTTCTACCTGCTTATCTTTAAGAGAGGCTTTAAAAAAAAAAAAAAAAAAAAAACTTGCCAAGACGATGCTCTGTGTTCAGCACACAGTTTCTTCCTCTGAGGCACACAGGAAGACCACATTTATCAGCTTCCTTTGCAGCTGGGTCCGTGCCAGGCCTGACTTGAAAACATCCCATGTGATCTTTGCACAAGCATAAATAAAACTTGAGTAGTTGCTCCTCCAGCAGAGCACACAGCCTGCCTTTGCACAAGTAGGTGAGTAGAACACAGCGTGGCTTGCCTTGCATGAAGCAAGGTAATGAGAGCCCAGACTACAAGGGAGCTGTAAAAAAAAAAAAGTGGCAGATTTGCGGACTTCCCTAGTAGTCAAATGGTTAAAACTCTGTGCTTCCAACGCAGGGGGCACAGGTTTGATCCCTGATTGGGAACTAAGACCCCACATGCTGCATGGCCAAAAGAAAAAAAGTGGTGGGTTTGAGAATTACTCGAGTGGGAACTAACCAGACCTAGTAATGGGCTACAGATAGAGGATGAGGGAGTGGGAAGTGTGAAAAATTACTCCAAGTGTTTAACCTGAGCTGCTAGACGCCACAAAGGACTATTTACAGAGATGGGGGAAGTGGAAGAAAAGTGGTGGGCAGGATCAGGAGTCCTATCTTAGACATAAATCAGAGATGTCAGAGACTCAAGAATTAAATACAGGAGTCGAAACAGTCTGAGCTAAAGATAGAAATTTGAAAGCCATCACTTTATAGTGGGTATTAAAAGATATGGAAATAAAGACCCAAAAACCAAGGCCTGAGAAAGAGAAATTCAGAGGTCTGCAAGGAGGGCAAATATTAGTTCTCTTTCCTTGTGTCCTCCAAGAAAAGGACAGGAACCATGACTGGATACTGCATCAACCTATTTAAGCTCTAATTCTGTAATTAAGAAGCACCTCAAATTGGAAAGATTGAGCCCAGTGTATGAACCTATAAATGCCATTACCATTTTTAAACTCTGTAAATTCCACTGTGTCTTTTTGCCAGCAGAATTATTATACCATGGATATCATTAACCGTATATGCTGAGAGCTTCCAGATAAACCTCATTATTAGGCCTGCTTGACAAGAGCAAGACAAAGATAATGATTCTAAAAGATGAGTTCATCTGGGGTGTTTTTATTTATGCATTCATGCCAAGTTCCTTCAGTAATGTCCAACTCTGCAACCCAATGGACTATAGCCCTCCAGGCTCCTCTGTCAGTGGGATTCTCCAGGCAAAGAATACTGGAGTAGGTTTCCATGCCCTCCTCCAGGGGATATTCCCAATTCAGAGATCAAACCAGCATCTCCTATACCTCCTGCACTGCCAAGCAGGTTCCTTACCACTAGCGCACCTAGGAAGCCTGTTTTTTTAATTTATAGTAGGAAAAAAAATAATTTTCTTGTTTCTAACATCAGTTGGTTTAATAGGTTATCTTATAAAACTATGCTTTGTATGATGCTCCCATCAATAATTTCACTTGCAGTTGCATGAAGTGAGTGTTCACTGAACACTATTCTAGGCCAGAGGCCTGGCTGAGTAGCAGAAGGGAGAAATGGAATGACAGGCCCTGTTTTCCAGGAGCTGAACTTTGTTAAAAACCAGTTTCCCTGGTCCTGTGTAGGATAAGACAGTGGACTTCAGAAACCTTAAATTCAGACAGACATCTTAAAAATAACAGCTCTCAATTCTCTTTTAGTAACCGTGCTGCTCAGAGACTGTGAGACAGCAGTAGAAAATAGCAGTGCTACTCGCAGGATACGTGACCTTGAAGAAATCATTTAATCCTGCTTGCTCAGTTTCCTCATCTGTATGACTGGATGGCGCACCTACCAGATAGTTAATTTTGAGATTTAAATAATGCAGAAATGTCTTCTACAGAACTGTCAAGCAAAGGGGATGACATATCTAATAACTATTTCCTTCTCTAACACACAAGGCAGAGGTATTTCTTTTTAGATGCCCAACAATGACAGCCAAATCTCCAGTAAACAGCATATTCTCAGTACCTGAGCTAGACCTCCAGCATGTATCAGGGTTATATCGGGCATCCAGAAGCATCCGGGAACCACCAAGCCATAAAGCGCGATCACAAAGTAAGGGACGGAATAGAACAGATACGCCAGCATCTGCACAGAACAGAAATAATGCCATCAGTAAATGGCAGTTAACCTAGCCTGATGAAAAGCACACATACACACAAAATTAACATTTTCTGCTGAGAAAATGTTAACTCCTCTTTCCTACATGGTATCACATTTTCCTATTCTTAAAGAAAATTAGTTTTAGAAAAACCATAGGCTGTACAACCACCTGACCTGGATTTTAGGATAAGCAGCAGGATCCTTTAGGTACGGCTCCTGAAATTGCGTATATAATCGGCAGAGCTCAGCTGGGCAATCCAAGGCAATCTAAGAACAAAAATGAGTTCATTATAAGAGACAGTCACATCTGGTCCTTAGGTTTGCTGATAAGGCTAAATGTGCCAAGTTTAGTCACAAGCTGCTTTCTATATAACAAAAGCTACTTCAGAAGCTCATCAGTAAAAGGGAGAGAAAATAAATATTCTACAGATTAAAGAGATCAAGTAGAGGATAACAGTGGAGAAGGAAATGGAGACTAATTCTCTGTACCTGGGGATCTTTCTCGTGTTCAGTTTAAATGTCTAGGTTTGGCTAACCAAAGCACAGCTGCTTTAAATGATCAACTTCCCTTTTCCCGGAAATAACTAGCTAACTAGTCCCTGCAGGAAGAATAGTACATTTCTATACCAGATTCATCTTAACTATGCTGAGTCCCCTTTAACTCACCTCCCTGAGGCACCACTCCTGGTGTCCTTAGCCATAAATGTTGTCCCACCTAAGTAACACAGGTGAACACATCAGTGGTGGAGTTGGTTAAAATGAATCCCAACCTTAAGGCCCCATCTTCCAAGGGACACACTTTACCCAGGTTTTTCTCATGTGCACAGGGGCATGGAGATGGCTGTGCAAGAAAACAGTTGCAGCTCATTTTTATGGTTGCTGTTTTTCTCCTTTGGACTTGAGGAATTACATCAGCCAACCAGGAATGGTATCAGTGCTCTGGTCTGAGCAAAGCCTCTGCACTGCTTTCTCCTTTACATCCTTTCCCCAGGCCACTCCTACCAGCTGACTCTGTTCCAGGAAGTTTTTGACGATCCACAGAGGGAGATAGCTCTGAGGACTACTCACCCTGACCTACCTGTCATACAGGTCCCTTACAGCCCAAGGACCCCAAAACAATGAATCAGCTGCATCAGTTTACATTTACCATTCTGCCCCCCAACTGCTGTGCAATGCCAGCAGGCTTAGAACAGTAATCGTCATTGCAGCTGAATATAATTAACCATATAATTCAAATCTATTGCTACTGAGGATAAACCATGAAACTGGGATACTCTGAAGGACCCTTGATCAACAAAAACAAAGCAGTCACTTACTGAGTACTTTTTAGGTATAAGGCCCTCTGCAAGTGTCTGATGTGCCTTATCATTTAATCTTCAAATAATACTCTAAGGTAGGTACCCTTACTTTATAGAGGAAGAAACTGAGGATCAAAGAGGTTAAGTGATGTTTCCGAGACTACACAGCTAGGAAACAGCCAGGAGTCTGACAGCTTACTCCGATACCCTGTCCTCAATCCCATCTCCCTGCTCCTGAGAACACATGAACGCTCTGTGCCAGCTTGATTAGAGTCTAAAGTCACCACCCTTAACAAAGAGATTTCAATCAGAAACATCAAACAAATGAATGAGAGGAATGGCTAATTTTTCAGGAGCCTTAAAATAAAAAGATTAATTGGTGAAGAGCTTGATCTGAGGACCTCAAGAAGATGTCATGAAACAGCCCAGAAGGGACCCCCTTTGGGAGGAGAGGTTTGGGGTGAGGGTAGGAGGGTAGCAGGAAGCAGGTCCAGGCCTCTAGGCTCTAATTTGTTGTTTAGTTGCTCAGTCATGTCTGACTTTTTTGCAACCCCATGGACTGTAGCCCTCCAGGCTCCTCTGTCCATGGGATTTCCCAGGCAAGAATTCTGGACTAGGATGTCATTTTCTTCTCCACTAGGCTCTAATAGGAAGTATGTTTTGTTAGTGCCATGGAAAATCTGATTTAAAAAATTTTTTTTATGTTATTGTGGTCCCTTATGCTTACCAAGCCTCTAAACACGCAAAATCCGGTCGCCAGAAGGAGACACAAAACCAAGATTAAATCAAAAGGTCTTCTCAGCAGGTCTTTTGCTTGGACCTCTTGAATGACCTAAAATAGAGTTGGTAACTGATGAGCTGCCAAAGAATAATCTGAGACCTACTGAAACAAAGATACTGTGGTAAGATAACTTCCAAGATTCAAAACCACTAACAAGGTAATTTAGGAAAATAATTCCTCTCCCCAAGTCTCAGTTCCTCATCAGTGAAATGAGGAGATTGGGCCTAGTGATCTTGAAGGGCCCTTCAGGTTCTGTGAGGCCATATTTTTTTAAATAGCATTTTTATGATCTTAAGTGTAAAATGTACTCATCTTTAAAATAAACCAGTAACCCGTCATACTACTATTAACACTTGTTGTATTTTCCAGTCACAAATACATAGTTTTATATGTATATATAATACTACATGTGTTAAGTATAATATATAATCTACATTTATTTTTTCACAAAGTTAGGACTTAATGTATAAACAACTTTGCATTTGTTTTTTTGCCTCTCACTACCTATGAGTACTTAACCACATTGTTAAAAGTTCTTTTAAAACTTACTGCCACATGGTAGTGCCATCATTGGATATTTAGGCATCTTCACTGTTTATACTTAATGCAATGACGAGCAACTTTGTACATAAATCTTTGACAGAATCTCTGATTATTTTCTTAGGATACAGCCCTCAGAATTACTAAGGTTAAAAACTTTAATTTGTTAACGTTGATAACATTGCCAAGGGGCTTTGCAGAGTGATTCTGAATTTGTGTTTGTATCAGCACTGTATGACTGCCTATTTCTCCCTGGCCATCACTGTGTTTTAACAGTTTTTTAAAAAATTAACAGTTTGTGTGTCTTACAACATGAACAGTACAGATATGCTAGCCTGGAGCATCAGAGTCAGTGAAGCAAGAAGGAAGGCTATGGTTTGTTGTTTAGTCGCTCAGTCGTGTCTGACTCTTTGTGACCCCGTGGACTGTAGCCCACCAGGCTCCTCTGTCCACGGGATTCTCCAGGCAAGAATACTGGAGTGGGTTGCCATTTCCTCCAGGGAATTTTCCCGACCCAAGAATCACACCTACATCTCCTGCATTGTAGGCAGGTTCTTTGCCACTGAGCCACTGGGGAAGCCTTTAAGGCCATGGTTACTGTCTGCTTGTTTTTTTAACAACCACCTCATCTTCAAAGGGTATAAGGAGGCACCAGTTATCAGCGTGCCAAGCTGAGTTTACATAGCATGTGTCCAAACATTCACAAATGAAGTGTTTGTAAATTAAAATGTATTTTAATGAATTCTATTGTAAGTCTTTTTGTAAAATGAAGAATCATGTTCTGATTATCTCTAGTAACTCATATTTTCATGTATCAATTTTGCTTAAGGATCTAATATCTATGAAAGGAAGAGAAACTTAGAAAGATGTCACTAGCTTAGAACTGAAGACCTTAACAGAGTACCTGCCGGGCCAGTATTGTTTCACCTTGAGCACCTTGGCTGTGACTGGAAGGGAGGTATCTCAGAAGATGTCCTGCAGCCAGTCTCCATGTGCCTGGATGTCCTGGTAATCAGACCCTCTGACTGTGTGCTACCTGGAACAGCAGTGTCTCTCCAGCCTCCCTCTGGGGCAGTAGTGCATAGATAGCTCTGAAAGAGGTGCCCAGATGCTCAAACTCCAGGCCATTAGCACCCCCAGATAAACCTCATACACTGGGCAATAATGCGGAATCTAATGGGAAGAGCCAGAGTAACCTGTGGCACCAGAAGTTCCAAAAAGCATGGCCTAGCCAATCAAAGCAGATCTAATCACACAGAAGCAGACCATCTGGCCGCCATAATAAGGTGTGAACCACTGCTGCAGAATCAACACAGTCACGCTGACCGACTGCCCCAAAGGCTACAGTCCCTGGAGGCCTGGTCCAGTCCCATAGCTGGTGGATACAAGTGACCTCTGAGTTTGAGAACAGGTTTACATTTAAATTAATAAAATCACCTTTGAGGGATAATTATAATTTTCTGATGGCTGATTATAGATTCTGAAACCAGCCCAGACAGGAAGACAAGTATATGGTATGCTTAAGAAAAAGGCAGGGCAAATACGTGTTCCATACTTCCCTATTTAAAAGAAAGAAAGAAAAAGTCAAAAGTTTACCAAAAGTATATCCACATACAAGTAACATGTAGGACCCCTCCCCATCTCAAGTCATCTAAAATCCTGATATGGACCAGACAGTATTTTTAATGAGACCAGAAGCATAGGTCAGTTTAAAACTATTAGGTATTTATTAACAGGTATGCCTTATTTACAGTACTTTAAAAGTAGACTTAATATAATATCCTGATTTCTGGCACGCATAAATAACTTTTATATCAGCTTTCAAGAATCTTAATTTTCAAGTATATTATCATGCGCCCACTGTGTGTCAAGTTATATATAGTACAAAGAGATGTAAGAAGTATCTTCATACTGAATGTAGTCACAAACCCAATATTTACCCCACTAGATCTTTCTAGAAGTCATGAATCACTGATATTAGTCTAGTTATTCAGTATACACTTTTGAAAATTGCTCAACAGCATTTCTTAAAAGGAAAGTTGGAAGGGAAAAGAAGTAACTGCAAAACAGCTCTTTGGTAAACTTGGAATGTCTTGGTTCTATCACAACCAAAATAGCTTCCCTATTTAAAAATTATTCCCATTGTTTCAGAAAAGGAAAGTGAATTTTAAGATAAAGTTTCTTACCTACAATGTTTCCTGGCACAAAAACAACAATGCTCATAATAATAGATCCGACCCAATATAGGCCAATGGTTCTATAACTTTCCCTGTAATGAAAAAAATCCTGACTTAGCACACTTGTTTTAGAATACTATTAGTATAAGATGCTCCACAATTGATCTCTGTTGTAACTAGTAAAGTACGTGAATCGAAAATGTACTGAATCAAGAGTAATAAATCCAGTACAAGGAACCCTGGTGATTGATCAAATTGCATTTCCCTATGTGATGAGCTATAGAATCCTCTTTGTGTCCTTTTGCATAGGAAATTATGCTTGCTACACTAATCTTCTGGTCAACCACACTATGGTCATCACTTTCGAAGGAGGCCTGCATTTCACTATTATTTATGAAACTCACAGCATGAAAGGGAAAAGAAGGTTCAAAGAAGAAAATTGGATCCATTTTTAAAATCACTGTAAGTATGAGTAGTAGGATGCTAATAAATGGACTTTCCCAGGTATCACAGAATTTCAAAGTCCCAAAGATAAGTACAGTAAGTGACACATAACCCATGTTCGGAAGGAGCTGCTAGACACATACCTCTAATCTTAATAGGTGATGTTGACAAAAAGTTTTTGCAACCAATAACTGACAACTCAAGATGGTTAGATCGCATCACTGACTCAATAGACATGAGTTTGAGCAAACTCCGGGAGATGGTGAAGGCCAAGGAAGCCTGGTGTGCTGCAGTCTGTAGTGTCACAGAGTTGGACAGGACTTAGTGACTGAATAGCAAGTGACAACCCACCTCCATAAGGGGCTCAGAGAAATTCAAAAAGGGATTCTCTGCCGGGAAAGAGAAGTGAAGAATACTGTGTGCTTTCTGCCCTGCCCGACCCGCCAAGCCCAATGTATCAGATCCCAGGAGGCCCATTCACGGTGACTGGGACTGTCAGCAGGGGGCAAATCAGAATCTTCTTCCCCAACAGGACCACAGAAATGCTGGCCCACACTTGACAGGAGGCAGAGCCTGAGCATTCTTGGAAACACCTGCTGTGTTCCCTGGAGCTTGGGAACATTCATGAAGAGAAGGGCGAGAGCCTAGAAAAGTCAAGAAATTAGCTGGGACTATCTTGGAGTGGACAAATGGGGGCTGGGGAGGGGAACAGGACAGTTGGTCAAGCTGAATTTCAACCTTGTGAGGAGCTAGAATGTGAAACTTGAACCTGGAGCCAAAGGGAGGCCTGGGAAGGTAGGTGGACTTGAGACATCTTTAAAGGACTCTACCCCAAGGGTATGCCTTCTGGGTTATAGGGGTTCCAGCAGAAAGAAGCTGTGGGTGTACCCCATGGGCAGAAGAGTCACACAATTTCAGTCCACAAGAGCATTGCTCATTTCAGGAATCAGGGTAGTGCAGAGGCACTTATGGTGCATGCGTGTGTTAAGTCACTTCAGTCGTGTCCAACTCTTCGCAATACTATGGACTGTACCCTGCCAGGCTCCTCTGTCCATGAGATTTCCCAGGCAAGAATATTGGAGTGGGTTGCCATGCCCTCCTCTAGGGGATCTTCCCAACCCAGGGATCGAACCCATGTCTCTTATGTCTCCTGCATTGGCAGGTGGGTTCTTTACCACTAGTGCCACCTGGAAAGCCCGGTTCCTATGGCAGGGGTCTCCAAAGACCCAACACATGCGCCCCCCCAAGGCAGAGCCAGCATACCACCTGGCTCCCAATACCCAGAAAACAGCACTGGTCATATAAGACTCTGCTCCCCGGGGGCGGGGAAGACTCTGCTCCTCTTCCCTTAATTCCACATACACACACATGCTCCCAGAGGAGTGAGCTGAGAAGTAATAAAAGGACTGACAGTGTACCCCAGCCTCAGTGCAGACCGCTCAGTCTCAGGGTTAAACCTGAGCTGGAGGGAGAGAGCTCTGAACTGAAAGGAGTCTGAAGTTTTGAATTACAACGGGCTTTTATTCTTGGAAATGAGAACATTAAGGGGTCAGCTGGAGCTGTCCATCGTGGCAAAAAAAGTGTGTTAGTCGCTCAGTCATATCCAACTCCTTGCAACCCCACGGACTGCAGCCTACCAGGCTCCTCTGTCCATGGAATTTCCCAGGCAAGAATACTGGAGTGGGAAGCCATTCCCTCCAGGGGACCTTCCAGACCCAAGGATCGAACCTGGGTCTCCTGCATTGCAGGTAAATCCTTTACCATTTGAGCGACCAGGGAAGCCAGAGGGGCAGTCCAAAGGCATATGTTCAAAAGGGAGTAAATGCTGCAAAAATGCTGTAAATGCACATATCACTTGGGTCCACAGAGCCTGTACCCATGTCCGTGTGCCCCTCTCTATGTATCTGCCTCGCCTGTCAGTTGCTAAGGTGACCCAGGCACACCCACCAGGTTAGCTGACTTACTCCCAGGCTATGGCTGCCACCATCACCAGATACATCAGATAATGAGCAGAGCCGTCCCAGTAGCAGATCATATGTCCATAGGCTGTGTTCAGATACGGTTCACCCTGAGGAGAGCATAAGAAGTCCACTGTAAATAAAACTCAAACATTTCAGAGCAAAATACCAGACCAGTATTGCATGTAAAATAAAACAGCAGAACTAACATGTTCGTATGCTGAAGTGAAACTATTCAGAATCCGAGACAATTACAAAATTGGTAGGAACATGAAAATAAACATGTTTTATATACATATATATGTATACAAATATACAGGGCAGGGAAGCCTGGCAGGCTACAGTCCATTGAGTCACAAAGAGTTAGACATGACTTAGTGACTGAACAACAGCAATGAAAATATACATGTACCCTGGAGCCACCGAAACTAGGGTCTGCCACAGCAGGTGGAATGAGTCCGTGCCTGTCCCATGCTAGGTCTACACAGGTGTATTGTTGTTCAGTCACTAAGTCGTGTCTGACTCTTTGTGACCCCATGGACTGTAGCCTACCAGGCTCCTCCCTCCATGGGGTTCTCCAGGCAAGGATATTAGAGTGGGTAGCCATCCCCATCTCTAGGAGATGTTCTTGACCCAGCGATCGAACCCACATCTCCTGCACTGACAGGTGGATTCTCTAGTGCCATCTGGGAAGCCCACATAGGTGTGTACAGTGATGCAAAACAGATGGTATCACAAGCAATCCTGCCCTTGTGGTGAACTCACTGAGGCCAAGTCCAGTCTGTGACTAAAGGTGTTTATCTCTGGCCAGGCAGGGTGGCCAGGGGAGACCCTGCTGACCAAAGTCACTTGACTGACCTTCAAAATTCATGCTGACCCAGAGGCCTGCTGGGCTGCATGTAAGGAAGGCAGGGCTTTCCCCCGCTGCTATCCCCTATGCAGGCATGGACAGGCTTCACACCCTGCCCCTCATTCAACCTTCCAAGCAGCACCATGGGATACATACAAGTGACCCGATTTTATAGATGAGCAAACAGAAGTTCCAAGAGGTTACCTGACCTGCCTAAGGTCACACAGCTAATTCCTAACAAAAACTGTACTACCAAGAAGAGCTGTGGGCTTCCCAGGTGCCTCATTGGTAAAGAATCCACCTGCCAATGCAGGAGACACAGGTTAGATCCCTGGGTCAGGAAGATTCCCTGGAGAAGGGAATGAAAATCCACTTTAGTAGTCTTGCCTGGAGAATTTCATGGATAGAGGAACCTGGTGGGCTATAGTCCATGGGAATCACAAAAGAGTTGGATATGACTAGGCAACTAAACAACAAAAAGAAGAAGAGATATACTTCCAAGAAATTTTTAGTTTTATAAACAGATTATACGATGAGCCATGAACACATTTCCTTGTCCCAGGTGCTTTACGTTTGCAGGCCACTGCTGGAAAGTCACTGCTGAACCTGCCTGGGTGTTTGGTGTCATTCTGGCTCCTCCCCACTCTCCTGTCTTCCCTTCTTCCACACCTGTGCTCTCCTGCCTTGTTTCAGATGTCTTCCTAAGATGCCTGAAGACCTTTCCACAACAAGGAAGAGTGCANACCACTCAGGTTGCCCAGCTCAGAACCACAGGGTCGTTTTCACTCCTCCTTCTCTTACGCAGTCTGCTGGCAGGTCCCATTGATCCGTCTCTATGATGTCAACCCCAGGCAATCCTCACTCTCGTCACAGCCTCATTCGAGCCCTCAGCACCCCTCACTAGACCTTTCCTACGCGGTCATCCCACCTCTCTCCTCTCCTGCCGATTCACCACACCCCTGCCCTAGCTCTGGACATGTCATTCTTCAGATCAGAAACCTCCCAAAGCTGGTGGCAACTGCAAGACAAGCCCTACCTCCTCTTCTCTGGCAGCCACGTCCCCCAGCCGGGCCCTGCACCCCTCCCACAGTTGCACCTCAGCCCCCTCCTCATCCCCCTTTTACTCAAACTCCAGGCCCTCCTGGCAGCTACCTCCTTCCTAAACCCTCCTCGCTGTGAGCTCTGTGGCCCTAAACTCCCTGGGTATTTCTGCCTCTTTTTTAAATATATGTTTTTTTTTTTTTTTATTGTTGGCTGCACTGGGTCTTTGTTGCTGCAGATGGGGTTTCTCTCGTTGCAGAGAACGGGGGCTACTCTCTAGTTGCGGTGCACAGGCTTCTCTTTGTGGTGGCTTCTCTTGTTGTGGAGCACAGGTTCCAGGGTGTGCAGGCTCAGCAGTTTGAGCACAAGGACTCAGCAGTTACACCGGGCAGGCTCTAGAGCACGGGCTCTGTAGTGGGGCACGGGCTTAGTTGCCCCACAGCATGTGAAATCTTCCCGGACCAGGGATCAAACCTGCATCCCCTGCATTGGTAGTCAGATTCTTGACCACCGGACTACCTGGGAAGCCCTCCTTCTGTGTTTGTGCCTGTCCCCTCCCAGGCCACTTCAGAGGCTCCTGGTCTTCTGGCCAAGGTCTCCAAAGTTCCACCCTCAGCCCTCCTCTCTCTACCTTCTCTTCTCAGACCTTCAGGTGCCAACTGTCCTGAGATGGTCCCTACATCTCTTCCCCGAGCTCAACACCTGCAAAGCCTTGCCTGCTGGGCCACCTGCCAGGATGTCCCTTACCCATCTGAAACTCCTCACATCCCCAGATGAACTCAGCATCATCCCTGCCTGGCAGTGGGGAGCCCCGTGCTGTTTCTCATCTCGAAGCCTCTGCCCACACTGTCTCTTCTCCTTGGAGTCCCTCCACCCCCAAGTCTATCTGGAAAACGTGTGTCATCCACTGCCATTGCCATTTTTAAAAAAGATTAGGGCAGGGCTTCCCTGGTGGCTCAGTAGTGAAAAAAAAACAACAACAATAAGCTGCCTGCCAATGCAGGAGACACGGGTTCCATGCCTGGTCTGGGAAGATCCCGCATGCCAAGGGACAGCTAAGCCCATCCGCCACAACTACTGAGCCTGTGCTCTAGAGCCCGGGAGCTGCAACAACTAAGCCCTAGAGCCCATGCTCCACAACAAGAGAAGACCCCGCAATGAGACGCCCAGGCACTGCCACAACTAGAGAGCAGCCCCGGCTCTCTGCAACTAGAGAAAAGCCTATGCAGCAAAGAAGACCCAGCGCAACCAAACTTAAATTTAAAAAAATTTTTTAAGCTAGGGCAGCGTCACGGAGGGCCCCCTTTAAGTGCTTCCAGAGTCAGGATGGTATCTTAGCCCTTATTTTCCCCATTGCCCCCAGCTCATCCCTGAGACCTACTCATTCCAGCCACTCAAATTCTTTGAAGTTCATCCCTCCTCTCTACCGTTCATGCTTGGCCTCCATCTGGGTCACCTTCATGCCCTCACTGGCCCTGCAGGACACCTCCTGGCTGGTGTCCTAGCTCACAGCACTGACCCTTCCCTTCAAACCCATCCTTCTCTGAGCTGACTGCATTGTCCCCTGACTCAACATCTTCCCTCACACGAGGGACAAAACCCAAACTCCCTTGGCTTGCACTCAAAGCTCCCCATTACCTGAAATATGAATGATGACTACACTGCTCCTTATTTCCTATGTGACCTTGAGTATGTTACTTAACCTCTCTGGGGCTAGATTCATCACACCATCAAATAAGGAAAGAGGACCAGCTCTGTCAAGTGCCAGGTAGATTGATAATGCTGTGATGAGGAGCAGAGCACGTATTCATCATCACAACCAAATGGCTTTATTAACTGACTCCATGTTTGGCAGTTTACACATTTAAGACTGACTGACTTGGGATTTCTTAAGGAGTAATGCATTGATAACAACAGATACACAGATACTGACTTCATTTAAAGACCTCTGCTGCTGCTCCTACTAAGTCACTTCAGTCGTGTCCGACTCTTTGCAACCTCATGGACTGTAGCCCACCAGGCTCCTCTGTCCATGGGATTCTCCAAGTAAGAATACTGGATTGGGTTGCCATTTACTCTGCCAGGGGATCTTCCCCACCCAGGCACTGAACCCTCGTCTTTTACATCTTCTGCATTGGCAGCTGGGTTCTTTACCACCAGCGCCGCCTGAGAAGCCTTAAAGTACCCCACTTATTTTAAACACAAGTAGAGGAGGAAGGTGGTGAGTCAGGTGTGAAGATAGAGTTGTAAGACCCAACACTGAGGAGAACTGCCTCCCATGATCTAATCCTAACTTTCCACTTCACTTTCCACGTAACTGAGTGTCCTGCGTCCACAGCAGTCAATGAAATAGCACGGGTCGTGCCTTCTTACATGACACGAAAGGATTTCCAGCTAGAGCAATACTGTTGGAGTCGCCGACCCTTCGGTTCCCATGGTGCGTATGGTGCTAAGTGCTCCCGTACCTCTCTCAGGTAGTGTGTCATGAACCCGTCGATGATCCCATCTTGCTCCAGTCCTATGATGAGGTTTACGACGCTGGTAAATCCGAACACCGCGTACACTAGAGCAGAGAAAGCAACAGTTCAGAAAGCCACAGCTCAGGGGGCAAAGCCTAACAGCTTGGCGTCTACCAGTAATGATTTCTTTTTTACTTTTCCCCTTTAAGTGCTTCCAGAGTCAGGATGGTATCTTAGCCCTTATTTTCCCCATTGCCCCCAGCTCATCCCTGAGACCTACTCATTCCAGCCACTCAGATTCTCTGAAGTTCATCCCTCCTCTCTACCGTTCATGCTTGGCCTCCATCTGGGTCACCTTCATGCCCTCACTGGCCCTGCAGGACACCTCCTGGCTGGTGTCCTAGCTCACAGCACTGACCCTTCCCTTCAAACCCATCCTTCTCTGAGCTGACTGCATTGTCCCCTGACTCAACATCTTCCCTCACACGAGGGACAAAACCCAAACTCCCTTGGCTTGCACTCAAAGCTCCCCATTACCTGAAATATGAATGATGACTACACTGCTCCTTATTTCCTATGTGACCTTGAGTATGTTACTTAACCTCTCTGGGGCTAGATTCATCACACCATCAAATAAGGAAAGAGGACCAGCTCTGTCAAGTGCCAGGTAGATTGATAATGCTGTGATGAGGAGCAGAGCACGTATTCATCATCACAACCAAATGGCTTTATTAACTGACTCCATGTTTGGCAGTTTACACATTTAAGACTGACTGACTTGGGATTTCTTAAGGAGTAATGCATTGATAACAACAGATACACAGATACTGACTTCATTTAAAGACCTCTGCTGCTGCTCCTACTAAGTCACTTCAGTCGTGTCCGACTCTTTGCAACCTCATGGACTGTAGCCCACCAGGCTCCTCTGTCCATGGGATTCTCCAAGTAAGAATACTGGATTGGGTTGCCATTTACTCTGCCAGGGGATCTTCCCCACCCAGGCACTGAACCCTCGTCTTTTACATCTTCTGCATTGGCAGCTGGGTTCTTTACCACAGCGCCGCCTGAGAAGCCTTAAAGTACCCCACTTATTTTAAACACAAGTAGAGAAGGAAGGTGGTGAGTCAGGTGTGAAGATAGAGTTGTAAGACCCAACACTGAGGAGAACTGCCTCCCATGATCTAATCCTAACTTTCCACTTCACTTTCCACGTAACTGAGTGTCCTGCGTCCACAGCAGTCAATGAAATAGCACGGGTCGTGCCTTCTTACATGACACGAAAGGATTTCCAGCTAGAGCAATACTGTTGGAGTCGCCGACCCTTCGGTTCCCATGGTGCGTATGGTGCTAAGTGCTCCCGTACCTCTCTCAGGTAGTGTGTCATGAACCCGTCGATGATCCCATCTTGCTCCAGTCCTATGATGAGGTTTACGACGCTGGTAAATCCGAACACCGCGTACACTAGAGCAGAGAAAGCAACAGTTCAGAAAGCCACAGCTCAGGGGGCAAAGCCTAACAGCTTGGCGTCTACCAGTAATGATTTCTTTTTTACTTTTAATTTTATTTATTTGGCTGTGCTAGGTCTTAGCTGAGAGGTATGTGGGATTCTAGTTCCCCAGCCAGGGATTGAACCCTGGGACCCCTGAAGTGGGAGCGTGGAGTGTTAGCCACTGGACCACTGGGGAAGTCCCCAGTAATGATTTCTTGTCATGTTTTCCAGAAGACTCTATAGATGCCTTCAACAAGGACTCACAGAACGTACCTCCCGTGCACACAGCTGGAGCCGCCCACCAGTGTCATGACCTGCAAGAGGACACCCACTCGGAGGAGCACATGACAAGGTCCCAGGGGATTCTAGCAGGCTGCCCGACTCCCCTCCTCCACTTCCTGCATGTGGCTGCCAAGGCACATCTGCATTCCAGCTGGGCGGCAGGAGCAAAACCATTCCCCTGTGACCCAGGAAGCACAGAGGTGACCACTGACTCAAAAGAGATCTTTCACACCAATGGTTACCAGGTGGCCCGACTCACCGTGTATCCAGCGTGCTTGCCTTACCCCACACTGGAGATCCTACAGACAAACAGTGGCTGATGTGAAAGTGATGGTTGTTTTAGGAAGGAAGGCTAGTGATTTTTAGAAAATTGGATATGAGGTGGAACCATTGAATATTAAAGAGGGAAAGCCACAGCATCTTAGAGAATCTCACTAAGGATGTGAGAAGCTCCTCAGTGGACTGAAAACTACCAGCAACAACTACCAGCTAAGGAATAATACTTTTTAAACAGTGAGTGATCAAATTTAGCATGTGGCAGTTTGTCAATAAAGCTCTCTGTTCAAATCATAACAAACCAGCATCAAACTGTGTGTTGGGCATGGATGGTAAAAAAAATCTGGTGGTGGGACTTCCCTGGTGGCCTAGTGGTTAAGACTCTGTGCTCCCAATGCAGGGGCCATGGGTTCCATCTCTGGTTGGGTAACTAAGATCCTGCACGCTGCATGGCACACCCCAAAAGAAAGAAATTTTTAAAAAAATTTGATGGCGAATATAAGAACAGCTGTGAAACAAGAAAATGCCCAGGAAGGCAGGCAAGGTTAACTTACAGAGCAGGGAAGCTGACCATGCCCCAAGTCTGCAACCAGGAGTGCAGCGTCTACATTTTCCCCAGGGAGAGTGGGAGGCCCACATGTGCCCTGCCTCCCCATGCCTCCGTGCAGGCCTTTGGTCCAGATCTCGCAGACACTGATGAGCCATTAGGTGATCAGCCATTGTGTGTCTCCCGGAAGAGGAAGCCTTCAGCAACTGATCATTCGGCTGTTCTACCGACAATCGCTGATGCCAACAGCAGTGTCAGGCTCTGGGTCACCGATGACAAGGACAGTCCATGCCCTCCAGTCGGGGCTGCACTGGCTGATACGAGGACAGAGGGCTGAGAGAGAGGAGGGCACTCAGCCCTGAGGACCCTGGAGAAACACGAGTGCCGCTGAGCGAGGGCTCTTCGGAGCACGGAGGAAGGGGAAGGAAGCCGGCGGCAGGAGGCCAGTCTGCAAACGTGGGCAGAGGCCAGACCAGTGGCAGGGGGACTGGAGGCAGAAAAAGGACATGGATTCAGACAGGCCCAGCTCATCGACTGACTGGCTGTCAGCGCTTAGGTAAGTTTCATTTCTCTAAGCTTCAGAGTTTTTTATATGCAAACTAGGAAAAATCTGGGGCATCAGTGCTGTCTCACTGGCTGTAACCTTGACCCCATTTCTCAGTGCCTCTGAACCAGATTCTTCGTGTGGGCAGAGAGGATATTGTTGTGAAAGAAAGAAAGTGTAAGTGTTAGTTGCTCAGTGTCTGACTCTTTGTGATCTCATGGATTGTATCTGCCAGGCTCCTCTGTTCATGGAATTCTCCAGGCCAGCATACTGGAGTAGGTAGCTTCCTCTCTCCAGGGGATCTTCCCGATCTAGGGATCGAACCCAGATCTCCTGCATTGCAGGCAGATTCTTTACCATATGAGCCACTAGGAAAGCCCTGTTTGTTGTGAGGATTAACTAAAATGATACTGCTAATGTGCTCAGAGTCATACTAGGCACACCACAGGTGCTCAATCAGTGGTGTTTTCATTTATTTAAGATCCATGTGTATTTGCCAGGCAGTGGTTCAAGTACTTTATTTTTTTTTTCAAGTACTTTATAAACAGTATCTTATTTAATGTTTGTACCAACCCTCCTCATTGTACAAATGTGCATACTGAGGCACCAGACCGCTAAGCTCAAAGCCAAATGGAAGGGGCTGCAAATAGCTGGCTGAAGGCCGAAAGCCAGGAAGGAGCTGGTACAAGATCTGAGGTCAGAGGTCAGAGCATGGCTCAGGTCAGAGGTCAGAGCATGACTCAGGGCAGAGGCAAGGAACAGACGGGTGTCCTGCCTGGGTCCCAGCTGGGACAGGGTGGGGTGCACTGCTAGCGAGAGTCCTTCACTTAGAGGGAAGCAGGGCTGCATCTTATGGAAATACTCTTGCACTTTGCATCACCTTACCAGTTGGCTCAGCGTATTCACAGCCACAATGGAAAACAGACAGAGGCTCACATGCTGTGCCCTGAGGTGGACACAAAGGGCCTCCTCCCATGGAGACATACCATAGAACAGTGGGTCCCGAGGGGGTTTTCTTTTGACCAGGACACGAGCCAGCAGGGCCACCAGGAGCAGGACAACGGCAGCAGCCCCCACAATTGTCCAGGAACTGCAATGACCAGAACAGGGAGGTGGTCACTTATCAATATAAACACACGGGTGCATGGAATTTCCTGGCTAGTGAATGCATTCTCTCCCAGCGCAGCCTCTGCCTACAGCCCAGGCACTGTGGCATTCATAGTTTGTCTACAGAACTTGGGCCCCTCTGGGCCACCCCGTGACTTTCAGGGACCAGGACCAGAGCTACCAGGTCCTCACTCTCTGGTCATCCCGCCCACCTGGGCGAATGACATGTCTGAGTGCCCTCTGCCACTGTCCGTCTGCCATTGTCCATCTGCTCCTCCAAACCCTGTGCCTGATGTCTGACAGGCCTAACCACTGAATCTGCCTCCTTCCATAGGGCTGGCTGGAAACCCTCACACTGAGCTCCAAGGAGCATGCAGGAGTCACAACTACATCACCTTCTAAGGAAGAAGGGCCCCAGGCTGTGTGTATAATCAAAGGGACCAGAGGACCAGGCCAACCCAAGGAGAGAAGAGCTGGGGCTGGGCCCAAGGCCTGAATGAAGCCAGCCCCCCAACACCCAGGAAGCCAAGGTGAGCTAGTCTGGGCATAGCCCTGGACTTCCTCCTAGGAAAAGGCATGGCCCAAGGGGACAGGGAACGAACAAATCCACTTCCTTGGCAGGACAGAACAAGGGTACAGGCTTGCTGGAGTGAGCAGTTGAGGGACCGGGCGGCTGGTACCTACTCTGCTCCTGCCTGTGGGCCTTAGGAAAGTCAAGTCATTGCATCATCTGTTTTTTAGTTAATTAAGACATATTGAGGGACTTTCTTGGTGGTTCAGTGGTTGGGACTTCGCTTTCCAATGCAAGGAGTGTGGGTTCAATCCCTGATTGGGGAGCTAAGATTCCCACATGCCTAGAGGCCAAACAATCAAAACATAAAACAGAAGCAATATCGTAACAAATTCAATAAAGTCTTTTTAAATGGTCCACATCAAAAAATCTTTAAAAGAAAACATATTAAGGAAAACTGCATTGCACACCCCTATAGGCCAGTCACTGTGGATGAAATAGAGAGACCCCTGTCTACACAGGAGGACCTATCTCAGTGGGCTAAGCTCTCTCACCCAGAGGTCACCTCCAGTCCTAAGAGGTATTTTCTCTCTCATACCTCCACACCAACAGGGCATCCAGTTCTAGACGAAGCACCGCCCAACCCATTCCCAGGGCCTGCTTACACTAGGGCCCCCTCAGTAATCCTCGAGAGCTGCTCTAGCACCACCCCTTGGCCAAGACCCTTCCACACCATCACAGAGGATGTCTGGATAACCTTTGCTATATGTCCCCGGGACTTCTGGAAAGTACCCTTCACAGCCCACCAGCACCTACTAATAGCTGAGGGAAAAACTCATGCTGAAGTTCACTCCACACTCTACAGTTGGATTGGGTGCAGGCAGGGGTCAGAAATCTGCTTCTAATGTCAGAGAGGGAGTGATCCATCTATATGCAGGTAGACGAACCCCAAGGAGAGTGGCCCCAGGTTCAGGAAAACTGTATCCCATGCACCTGGCCCCAGGCCCCACTTAAGAGTCAAGGAGTGGTTTCTGGGAATCAGCAGCACCCAGACTTTCAAATGCCACCCCAGACCTACATATTCAGAATACTTCAGGTGTGGGCTATGGGAATAGGTTAATTTTTTCAAGACACCTGGGTGAGTATGCACAGAAAGTCTGCCTGGGGACCTCTTTTAAGATTTTCAGGAACTGATGGATGAGTGAGGGAGGGAAGGAAAGGGAGAGAAAGAAAGGAAGGAGAAATGGATGGATGATGGATGAATGGATGTTTGGGTGGATAAATGGATGGACAGATGGATGGATGACATGATGGATGGTGGATGAATGGACAGATGAATGGATGGATGATGAATGATGGATGGATGAATGGATGTTTGGATGGATAGATGGATGGCTGACAGATCATTGATGGTGGATGAATGGATGGATGACAGATGGATGGTTAGATAATGGATAGTGGATGATGAATGAATGAATTGTGGATGGATGGATGGTGAATGATGGGTGGATGGGTAGAGGAATGAATGGGTGTTTGGATGGATAGATGCATTCATGACAGATGATTGGTGGTGGATGGTGGATGAATGGATAGATGAATGGATGGATGAAGAATGATAGATGAATGGATGACAGATGGATGGTTAGATAATGGATAGAGGACAGTGAATGCATGAATTGTGGGTAGATGAATAGAAGGATGCATGGTGAATGGAGGACATAGTTCTATGATAAAAATGAAGATGGCCATGTCGGTGTCCAGGTAAGAGACTGAAATAGGAGGTTTCTAGTGCCACACATCAGTGGATGCTCCAGGCTCTTCCTGTAGGTTGAGCCAAAGGAGGAGACGATGAAAGAGAGAACTAATATGAGTCAGGAACACACTGCTGGGCAGAAGCATCCTGTGAACAGAGAAGAGGTTAAGGTGCTGTGTAGGCTGAAGGGTCAGGAAGATCCCCTGGAAAAGGGAATGGCTACCCATTCCAGTATTCTTGCCTGAAGAATTCCTTGGACAGAGGCCCTGGCAGGCTACAGTCCATGGGGTCACAAAGAGTCAGACACTACTAAAGCAACTTAGCACACATGCACACACGCATGTGTAGGCTGACAGAAGTTTTCATCACAGCCTGGCTCTGGCAGAGGCCAGGAGACAACTCCTATCCTTGTTCCCATCAAGGACCCGCCCGGCTCACAGCCAGCACCATCACACAGCTGGTGCTCTTCTGGACTAGAGAGCAGTATAAACCGCTTCATGGTGTCTGCTCCCACTCTCCACCTCTAGGGGAGGAGCAAAGGATGAAGAGTAACTGGGGCAACAGAGCATCTGCATCTCCCAGTGACAGCCAAGTGCAGGACCTGCTCAGAACAGGGAGAAATGGGTCCAGCAGGGACCCAGAGGTGGGGGAAGGGTAAGGGCTGCCACTAATATGAGGGTGGAAAAGCTGTTAGTCTTGTAATGTGTGTGTTTGGGGATGAGGCTGGGGAGCAGGGGGAGAGTTTCTGATGCCCTTACATGAACAGATGGCTACTGAAAGGGATCATGTGTGGGTGAGTATGAGTTGTGTATGTATGTGTGTGTCTATGAGATACAGAGAGAGAACTCAATTCTTTTCCTGGTGCCTCGACTTAAGTGGCTTTTTCTGTTCTTCAGGCTTTTGTAAAAGGTCTGGTGGGAAGGAAGCTTCAGCTAATTCAACTAATGCAAACTGAATGGGATGACTTCCAGGCACAAGCCCCCCACCACCCCTACCCCCCCCACACTGGGCAGGACAATGCTAAGGGGAGCCATGGCCTGAGAAGGTAAATTCTGACCACAGAGAAGTAACTCTTGTGGGAAAAGCACAACCCAACAGGGGCTCAGAGAAGGGAGAGACAGAGGGAACAGAGACTCCCCTGCTTGGGGGGGAGTCTGGAAGAGGCAGAGGTGGCATTTTACTCCAGGTTATAAAGTCCAGGTGTGGCTTCAATCATCAGGGACAGGAAGGAAGAAGTCCCAGTCCCAGCGAACAGTGTGAGCAGCGGCAAGGAGGTGGGGGATTAAGGAGTGTCCGGGACACAGAACCAGGTGGCGCTAGTGGTAAAGAACCCGCCTGCCAATGCAGTGAGACTTGGTTTGATGTCTGGGTCAGGAAGATCACCTGGAGGAGGGCACAGCAGTCCTCTGCAGTATTCTTGCCTGGAATATCCCATGGACAGAGGACTCTGGCGGGCTACAGTCCACAGGATCTCAAAGAGTCAGACACGACTGAAGGGACTTAGCGCAGGGGCACAGAACAGTCCAGTGCGGCTGAAGCACCAGCACGGCTGACTGGGCCGGGCTGGAGGGCTGAGGCAGATATGCACAGGGCAGAGCGAAGGGAAACTCCCTGGGAGGCTCTGCGAGAGAGGGCCAGTACTGCCAGTGGGGTGGGGGGACAGGAAGGAGGAAACAGATGCTAGCCCAGCCTCAGGACTGATGGGGAAGGAGACTGTGGGAGGGTGAGACGGGAGGAGTGGAGGAAGGAGAGGGAGGAGTCAAAGGCTACTGGGATTTTAATCTGCAGGAGGACAGGAAGAATGGCTGGAACCAGTTTTTCAGAACAAGGGCTCAGCAATGTGCTCAACAACACACAGCAGCACATAGTTCAGGATGTGCTCAGTAAATGCAATCACTGCCTTCCCAGGAGCTGAGATCAGAATCTCAGAGTCATCCTCAGATTCTCCCCATGCCACATGATCCTTCCATAAGCTGCGTGACCCTCCCTCCCAAAGATCCCCTCCCCAAGCCATGTCCCTCTCCCTATACTGCTCCCTGGTCCCCTACCTGGAAGGCTCTGTCCCTAGATCTTCCTGGGGCCATCTTCTGAAGCTCATGTCACCTCCTCCAAGAAGGCTTCCCTGGTCCCCAGTCCCCCCCATCGCTCTCTCAAATCGCCCATTTTATGTGTTGATTCCTGTCTCAACAACACACCTCCCAGATCTCTTGTGGTTTCTTCATAGCTATTTCCCCAGCACCTGGAACTGTGCCGAGCATACAGTGTCTCCTCAATAAATTGTTGAGCTGCCCATAATGCCACTGCAGAAGGGCAGAGGTCCCCATGCACTGTATTCACAGATCTGTGACCTTCCCTGCCCAGAGATGCTTCTTCCAGGAGTCGTGCCCCAAGACTGGGTCACACCAAAGACACTCACTCTCCATGCCTAGAGAGCACCCCCCGGTAGATGAGCGCACTCTGGATAAGGCTCTCAGCCGCGGAACCAGTGAGGAGGAAGTCACCGCCCCGTGGGCAGACACTTCTCCGCAACTTGAAGGTCTGGAGAGGGGGTGCAGGATACACACTGATGCAATTTCCTTAGCACCAACGGCTGTGGGAAACAGCGCAGGTTACTTCCTCCTCTCGGCTGACAGCAGGAACAACGGCAGGCTCAGAGGCCTGGCGCCTTTCCCGCCGCTGGAGCAGGCCAGCCGCTGCTGGCTACTTGGCCAGAGAGCCCTCACAAGTGAGACAGGGCTTTGAACCAAGTCCATCTGCGGCCTCCTTCAGCCCCACCCATTTCTCTAGCATGGAACTGCCCTGCAGCTCTCCCGGCTCCCCATCCTATACTCCACGGGCGCCCTTACAGCATCCTGACAATAGGATGCAAATACAGGCCATTTGACAGACCGGAAAACTGAGGCCAGGCCTAGTGCCAAAGCCAGGCCTAGAACTCAGGCCTTTGCCTGTTCATTCCGCGCTATTTCTGCTAGTCATTCACAACAGTTTCTAAAATTAATACGAAATGAGAAGTATGTGTGTGTCCATACATGGAAACGTTCCTGTGAAATGCGAAAGGAACGAGGCGCGGCCGGGCTCCTAGCTGCTGGTGTGTGGACCGCCCCACCCCTGTCCCTGGGCACTTCAAGGGTAGGAGCATTGCCTTAATGACCCCCGTAACCCTGGACACCTGGCTGAGATACCAGAACCGCGATACCTGGAACGACACCCAGCACTCAGCCCCAGAACTGCGCCCGAGTGTCAAAGATGCCAGCCCGAGCGAGGACCCCGGCCCGCTGGACTCCGGGCGCCTCCCCTCCTCCGGCCGGCCGCGGGGAGCCCTGGCGGCCGGGGAGCCTCTGCCCTGCCTGGCGGTTCAACCCCCTCCGAAAAGTTGCTGGGGCGCCCGCCGCGCCGACCCCCGCCGCTTGCGCGCGCCCACTCACTCGTGTTGGGCAGCCAGGTGGTTGAAGACGTAGGTGACTGGGATGGCCGAGAGGGACAGCACGAAGACCCCCGTGGCCGCCGAGGCACTCATCGCCGCTGCCGCGCCGCTCGCCCTTCACCGCATCCCGCGCGGGCGCCCCGCCCCAGCTTCCGGCTGCGCCCGCGCCCCTGGAGGCGCCCTGCCGTCCTCCCGCCCAGCGGCGCTGGGGCTCCACCGCGAGCGCGGGGCGGCGCCGAGGAGTGGCCAAAGCCCCCTGTCCGGGGACAGGTGTCCCCAGAGGCGCGCGCTCTGCGGGAAGGTGGCGACCCGGGAGGCGGGCTCAGGGCGCCGCCGGGAGCTTGTCATCGACGACCCGGAGAGGTTCTGGGCCGAGCTGTGGGCCAGCGTAGGGTGGAGCCACACCCGGGGGTGTCGGAGCGGGAAGAGCCCGCGAGATCGTCCACGTGGGGAACCCTCGGGCCAGGATAGGAAGGGATAAATGATCCCGAAACCTTGGAACCTCTCCACCGGCAGCCGGCAGCGAGTCCTGTTTGAACCCCGAGTCTGAATCCGGGTTTAAACCCCGGCTACGCACTCGCCGGCTGTTGACCTTGATCAAGTAACTTAACCTCTCTGTCTTTCCCCTTCTCTACCAAACGGAGGTCACCCGCGTCAATGTGATTGTGGGATTCACGGAGTTAATGGACACGAAGTGCTTGCCCAGTACTCCTCAGTCCACTGCTATCACCTGCAATTCCCAGTTTTTAATTGGAACTGAGACTCGGAGGAATACGATGATTGCAGAGACTAGAACGCCTATTTCTATTCCAGGTCGCGTTCCTGGAAGCCAGCTTACCACCCGCCAGCATGCACAACTGGCTTCCCCACAGATGCCCACCATAGAGAATACCTTGTGCCTAGTCTGCTCTGGCTGCTTGACTGTGTTAGGGGGCAGCCTCAGAAAGCACCCCCTGGGACAGCCTGGATTCCTCTGCTACGGGGAAATGGAAGGTGAGTGTGATTCAGAGAATAGCTCAGGCAACCAAGGGAAGCACCTGTACTTAGTGACCTTATAACAACGGCAGCGTGTGGAAGAGGCTCATTTTAGAGAGGAGAGAAGAGAGTGGCAAAGAGGCTCAGAGCCAGGGCCACTCAACTTTTAAAAAGCCAGCTTTCCTTATCCCCTCATCCACTGCTTCTTGGAGGCCGTCTCAAACTCTGAGGTCGAGATAAAGCCTTAACCCAAACTGTAACATATCCAGAGCTTCCCCAAGCAATGTCCTTACCTGTGACCTGGACATCACCGTCTTCCACATTGACTCCTTTACTAGCTGCTTAGCCTCCTTCCTCCTCCCCGACACCAAATATCTCCTCTGAGACCCCTTCTCTTCTCCCAACCAGTCTCCCAGGCCAGCCCATCCCCTCCATCACCACCCAAACCTTGCCGAATTAGTCTTGCCTTCTCTCTGATACCATGAACCCCTCTAGCTACCCTGGGTCCTCCCCCCTCAGTCTAGACACATGTTCATGTATGAGTCAGTTTAGAAAGTGCTCCCTCGGTGACACGCTACGACCTGGGACCCTCTGCTACTACAGTTCTTGCACCTGGGCACACCTCCAGAAACAAAATATAGGGAAACTGTATGCGATTAAAAATAACTGCGACCATGAGCAGTTGGAGCAAATTCTGGACCTGAAAGATACAAAGACGGAAAAGCCCAGCTGCCACTTTTGAAGAGGCTGGAACAAAAACAGGGTGTCAGGAGCAAAGTAGGATACTATGCATGCCCCTTTCACATACATCACCTAAGGGGTGGGCAAAACACCCAAGCCACCCCTCTGGCCCAAGCCATGGACACACTGCTACCATCATCCCATAGAAGAAACAAGCTCAGCCCCCACCTCAGGGATCAAGAAGGGGAGCCCGTTGTTTGTTTTCACTCCTCCTAGCTGCAGAGAGGTCCCAATGAATGTTTGGCCTCTTGTTGGTGTGTTGTTAGTCACTCAGTCATGTCTGACTCTTTGCAACCACGTGGACTATAGCATGTCAGGCTCCCCTGTCCATGGAATTCTCCAGGCAAGAATACTGGAGTGTTGGCCTCTAGTCAATTTCTATTGAATAGGCAAGGCGAAGAGCCCTGGTTGGTAAAACCTGGACCTGTGTGTCATCTTCATTTGCCATCTTCTCTCTTTCCTTTCCCATCCGTGCTGGGTTTTAATGACCATGTCTGTGCCAGTAGACCCCAAATGATCATTCCTAGCACTGACGTCTCCCCTCAGCACTGCCCTCTGGCCTTCCACAGGCACCTCCTGCTCAACATGGCCAAACTGGAATTCCCAGTCTGTCTCAAGTCCACTCCAGCCTTATCTCATCCAGTGGTACCACCATTCACCTGGTCATCCAGAATCCTGGGAATCCACATCTGCTCTGGCCAATCCAAAATATCCATGTTTACCACAGCTCTCCTAATGTTACTTTCCAAATATCTCTCAAGTCTGTTTGCACATCCCTATCCATGCCATTGCTGTCGCATTATAGGTCTCTGCCATCATCCAGGTTCCCGCCTCCTGCCTCGTCTCCCTCCTCTGTCCTCACCTGCTCTGAAAGACTGTGCTCCCACCCTCTTTGCTTTCTTCATAGTACTTTATTTATGCTATCCAAAACCATCTTATTTACACATCTGCCTCCTGTTCTGTGTCCTTCTCTCCATTATGATGTAAGCACCCTGTGGTCAGGAACGTTATCTACTTTCTTTACTGTTCTGTACCCATCACTTGGACTAACAGCTGTCTTGAGCAGGTGCTCAAAAGATATTTGTTCACAGAATGAACATTCTGGAACATCATTTTCTGACAGAAATATAACACAAGCCACAAATGTGAACCTTATGTGTAGTTTTAAATTTTCTCGTAGCCACACTAGAAAAGTAAAAGACAGAGGTGAAATTAGTTCTAATAATATATTTTATCTAACATGATATGTGCAAAAGATTGTTGTTTAAATGGTCATCAATGTAAAAAATATCAATGGGAAATTGTACATTCATTTTTTATTTTTAGCAAGAACTTAAAAAAATTATCTATTTATTTATGTATTTTTGGCTGTGCTGGATCTTTGGCTGCCTGTGGGCTCTCTCTAGTTACAGTACACGGGCTTCTCATTGTAGTGGCTTCTCTTGTTGCAGAGCACAGGCTCTAGAGCTCGGGATCTCTAGTTGTGGTACATAGGCTTAGTTGCCCTGCCACACGTGGGATCTTCTCAGACCAAAGACTGAACCGAACTTGTGCCCCCTGCATTGGCAGGGGGATTCTTAGCCACTGGACCACCACTACATTCTTTTTTTAATACTAAGTCTTTGAAATTGTGTATGTATTTTGTACTTAGAATATATCTCATTTCAGGCTAGTCACATTTCAAGTAGTCAACAGCCACATGTGGCCAGTGATTCTGTATTGAACTTCATAGTTCTAGACTTGTTCCTTCTATCAGATCAAGCTGACTTCAATTATGCTCTCTGTTTCTTTAAGAATAGATTGGAAAATTAAATCCCTAATGAACTTATTCAAGCATCCTCAGAGAGTCTACCATGTTTCCAGCATTATTATAAGAAATGGTCACACAAAGATGAATTATAAATACATCTTGCCCAAGAAGACCATAGTCTAGTGTGAGAAAAGCACATGTAAACAAGTAGCATGCAAAAGATTCATGTACAAATTGCTGTAGGCATCACCAGTCTCTCTAGAGGAGTTAAGAAGAGCTTCAGAGAGGTGAGGCTTTAGACCAGCCTTGCTAAACAGATAGAAGCTGGCCAATCTGATGAGGGATAATGGGGTTTTCCAGGAAAGGGAAATAACCCACGTTAAAGGCAGAAATGTATGAGAGAGCATGTCACTCGATGAGCTTCAAGCTGTTTGCTCTGGTGGGAAGTACTTGTGCATGTGGGGGGGCTGGTAGGAAGTGAAGATGGAGAGGTGATCAATGGCTCAGTCTTAAAAAACCTTAAGGTCAGGGAGCATGTAAGATTTATGACTAGGTCCTGAATGCTGCAACTAAAGATCCCAAAAATGTGCAGCTCAGACCCAGCCCAGATATATGGCAGAAACCAATGGAATATTATAAAGCAATTATCCTCCAATTAAAAATAAAGTAAAAAAAATTAAAGACCTAGCACAGCCAAATAAATAAATATTAAAAAAAAATTAGTAGGAGGAGAGGCTGACTTCATCAGAGTAACTTTTACTTTTTTTTTTAACCTGGGGCCAAGATAGTGAAAGCGCAGAGTCCTAACCACTGGACATCCTGGAAATCCCCCAGAGTAACATCTTTAAAGCTCTGACTGGCAACTGATGTGGAATAGGGTTTAGAAAGAGGAGAAGTAGGAGGTAGGAAGTCCACTTAAGAGGCTTATTCTAGCATGAGATGCTGAAGATCTGAACCAAAGTGTTGGCAACGAGAGGGAAGAACGAAGAATAGCACCTGCTCGCTGCAGCTAGAGAAAGCCAGAGAGCAGCAACAAAGACCCAGTGCAGACAAAAGTAAATAAATAAAAATTTTTAAATTAAGCAAATGTTTAAAAATTAAGCAAATATCATACAAATAAATAAAATATTGTTTTCATGCAGATGTCTTTTTAAACAACTTGTTTATTTCTTCATTTAAAAATTTTTGGCTGCACCCTGTGGCATGTGGGATCTTGGTTCCCAGACCAAGGATGGGGCCCACACTGTCTGCATCACTTCAGTTCACTCACTAAGTCGTGTCCAACTCTTTGCGACCCCATGAACCGCAGCACACCAAGCCTCCCTGTCCATCACCAACTCCCGGAGTCCACCCAAACTCATGTCCATTGAGTCGGTAATGCCATCTAACCATCTTATCCTCTGTCGCTCCCTTCTCCTCCTGCCCTCAATCTTTCCCAGCATCAGGTCTTTTCCAATGAGTCAGCTTCAGCTCTTCGCATCAGGTGGCCAAAGTATTGTAGTTTCAGCTTCAACATGAGTCCTTCCAATGAACACCCAGGACTGATCTCCTTTAGGATGGACTGGTTGGATCTCCTTGCAGTCCAAGGGACTCTCAAGAGTCTTCTCCAACACCATAATTCAAAGGCATCAATTCTTCAGTGCTCAGCTTTCTTTATAGTCCAACTCTCACATCCATACATAACCACTGGAAAAACCATAGCCTTGACTAGACGGACCTTTGTTAACAAAGTAATGTCTCTGCTTTTTAATATGCTGTCTAGGTTGGTCATAACTTTTCTTCCAAAGAGCAAGCATCTTTTAATTTCATGGCTGCAGTCACCATCTTCAGAGAAAGGTGGACTCTTAACCACTGGACCACCACAAAGTATCCCTTCTCTTGAAAAAGGATTGAATATGACTTAAAAGGCATTCAAGTAGTAAAGCTGTTTAGTTTTTGATATTCAGTTTGTTAGTTTGTTTGTTTTAGGACCATCCAACTTGCAAGCCATGAAGGCTGATATTGTAGCCGTGAAATTGGACCCCAAGATTTCTGCAAGCAAAAATAGACACACTAAGGTCTGTCCTCTGCCCATTCCCTGATGAGAAAGACAGTTTTTTGTGTGTTGATTCAAAATAATTGACTAATCAGGAATGACACTGAAGGGCCCCTGACCATGCCTGCTTCTGCTGTGGAGGAAAGTGAGAGCAGCACATTAGAGAACTTGGTCGCGTAAGGAGGAACTAGGGAGAAAGCTGCTGGCCAGGGACTGAGGGAGCAAAGAGTCAGCTCTGTGTCCATGCTTTAGCTCCCAGTCCCAGCGCCTCTTCCCCTTGTTCAGTTTTCCACTTTTTTCTTCCTTCCTTTCTTCCTTTTCTTTCTTATTTTTTCTTACTGAGGTATAGTTGATTTAAATACAACATTGTGTTACTTGCGGGTGGACAGCATAGGGATTCAATACTTTTTGCAGATTATATGCCATTATAGGTTATTACAAGATGATGGGTATAATTCCCTGTGCTATACTGTATATCTTTGTTGCTTATCTATTTTATATAGTAGTTTTATCTATTAATGCCATACCTTTAATTTGTCCCTCCCATTCTTCCTCTTCCCTATTCTTCCATTTTTTATCTTCTTTTTTTAATTTTTTACCATTCTGATAAAAATTATGATTGTGATCGTTGGAAAGCCTGGAACACTCCAGATGAATGTGCAAGGGGCAGTCAAACAGATTGCTCTGTGGGTTATATAGAGACAGAATAAAATGACCTGAGAGTCCACTCAAACAAACATTAAATGATGCTCAACACTGAGTTGGGATGGACTTCCCAGGTCGTTCAGTGGTAAAGAATCTACCTGCCAATGCAGGAGACATGGGTTCGATCCCTGGATCAGGAAGATCCCCTGGAGGAGGAAATGGCAACCCACTCCAGTGTTCTTGCCTTGGAAATCCCATGATCAGAGGAGCCTGGCAGGCTACAGTCCATGGGGTCCCAAAGAGATGGACATGGCTTAGTGACTAAACAACAACAGCAACAACAAACCCTTGAGTTACCTTAAACCTTGGGTTTGTTTTCAGTCGTAAGTGCTCTCATGATTTCTCTTAATATACTACAATGATTAACATTGATATATTTTTAAAACTTTTTATTTATTATTTATTTGACTGCATGGCCCTTAGCTGCAGCATGGAAACTCTTAGTTGCATGTGGGATCTAGTTCCCTGCCCGGGGATTAAACCCCCTGACCTCTGCATGGGGAGCGCGGAGTCTTAGCCACTGGAGCACCAGAGAAGGCCCTTGTGGATATTTTGGGGCCCTAACAGGCATAAAGCAGGTGCTGAATAAATACTAACTGAAGGGAGAAGTTAGTATGTAAAAATGTTTGTCCAAAAGTCTCCTGCTAGAGGAGATCTGCACCATTGCCCTGAGTTTCCTAGCAACCAAAGCAAAGAAGGAAACATTATAACATTCACAGTGTCCATAAGGTAAAAACAGATCACTTGTTCCAAAGAACTCTCTCAGGGCTCCTCTTAAAGGAAACAGCGTGTTATATAGTATGCCCTCAGCAGCCTTCTTACAATAAATATAGAATCTAGTTCCACACAGTTGTCTGTCAGTCCATCGTCAGTGCAGGTGGCTGGCATACTGCCAAGAGCCACTCAGTGCGAAGGAATCAAAAATCATTCCTTGCAGATAAGCAACTCTCAGAAGGCTTGGCTTGGTTCAGTGATACATTTTACAGTATGTGGGGGCAGGAGTGGAAATACCTTCCTGGCAAGCACACTGTCCCTTCCAGTTTAAGCGATATCACCAGTGATCACTGAAACTCTCTCCCGTGGAGACTGGACATCACCAATAGGCTTCTTCTCTCCTACCAACTGAAATCAATCTGCCAGCTCTGATCAAACGGTGTTCATGATTATCCTTCAGGCAATGTTCCGTGAGTATTAATTCCATGTAATAACATTTTCATACATGAGTTAACGGAGACTTCATACATTAACATGAGTTAATGGAGACTTTGAAATTATAGTGACTGGCGAGAGAGGAGGCATTCTAAGTGGATTAGTAAGGACAGAGCATCATGGTTTGACAGGAAAACACGTGGAGGGTAGTTTGGCATTTTTTCATGAGAAGGATGAGCATGGGACAATCAAACCCAAGATTGCTGCCCTGTTCAGACTGCTTCCCAGGTATAACAGAAGACCTCACATGTCAGGGTATAGGTCAGAAAGAGCTAATTGGAAAGAAGATTGAGGGACTTCCTTGACATTTACTTTCCCTCTCAAGATACCTTGCCATCCTCTAACTAAAGAATTAACATAAAAATAGTTAACATAGGGACTTTTCTGGTGGTTCAGTGACTCCAACTCTGTGCTTCCATTGCAGAGGGCATGGGTTCAATTCCTGGTCAGGGAACTAAGATCCCACATGCCAAATTGCATGGTGAAAAAGAACCTTTTTTTTTCTATTTTCAAGACAACTCTAGGCAAAATGTGGAAAACAGAGTTACAAAACAAAATGTAAATATTATAAACACATACCCTGTAAGGATCATAACTGCAAAAATTAAGCAGTATTGACAGAGAAGAAAGTGTTTCAAATTCTTTTTTTCAAAGAAAATTGAAACTGAACTGCCCCCCTCAGTCCTATTCCTCTCCCTTCATCTCTAGAAGCAATCACTACCTTGAAATTGGGGGCATACCCGGTCCACATTTATATACATATAAACAAAATATGGGACTTCCCTGGTCACTCAGCGGTAAAGAATTCGCCTGCCAATGCAGGAGACAAGCCCCTGGTCTGGGAAGATACCTGGGAGAGGAAATGGCAACCACTCTAATATTCTTGCCTGGAAATCCCCATGGATGGAGGAGCCTGGAAGACTATAGTCCACAGGGTCACAAAAAGAGTTGTACACAACTTAGCAACTGGACGACAACAACAAGAAACAATATGTAGTTATTTCATAAAATTTACATCAATTATAATATCCTCATATTTTTTTTCACTTAACATGGACTTTTTGAAATCCATTGATTTCTATACACTTATTCATTCATTTTCACTGCTAGAGCATTCTACCATATGACCGTACTACAATTTATTTTTCTTTCCTCTACTAATAGATCTCAGAGTTGATTTTAACCTTTCACTTCTATAAACAGTGTTGTAGTGAACATCCTACAGTTATCTCCTCTGCACATGACAAGAGTTTCTCTGGGTGACAATGTCTAAACACAGAATAGCAGGCAACTTGTGCATATTGTTTGGTGCTCTACATTTGTTCAGTCCAGGCAAGCTTCCTGCAAGTTTCTTCACTCACCTGATGAGCTTCAAAAGCAAAGAGTCCTTCCCAAGAGTCAGTTAGCTCGGCTTAATCAAGAAGTTCTCAAAGGTGTCTCCAGTCCACCCTCTGAGAGCCATGGTCCTAATCCATGGCTGGAGACAGATATAATCTTCAAGCCTATATCACACATCAGGAAAAGATGCAGTTGATCCTAAGAAGAATCAGATGGGAAAGGTTAATAATTTTCCCCAGAATATGCTGGTAGCAGAAATTCAGATTTCAGACAATGATTTCAGGCTACAGTTTTCAGATTCAGATTCAGCCTGATTCAGATTTCAGGCTACAGTTTTACAAGGGAGAGTTCATCCCTTACTCTGAGCTCAGANTTTTTTTTTTTTTTTTTTTTTTTTTTTTTTTTTTTTTTTTTTTTTTTTTTTTGCTAGTTTGCCCTTTCATCACTGGTGTGTGTCTCTTTGCAAGGTCCCAAACCTCTGCAGAATGTCAGTTTCAATGTTCTGCATCCAGCAAACTCAAAGCCAGTTCTCCTAGCCTAATGTAGACATAAAAACCAAGTTTCCAACTTATTGAAACAACAGCCTCCCTGGAGCTGTGGGCACTGCATTGCTCACAAACTCCAGGTGCCAGTCTTTAGTTTTAGCCTCTGGGAATTTCACTTAACTTTATTGCAGTCTAGGCTATGTATTTAAGTGATCCTGTTACCTTGTACCCAGCATTTAGTTATTTGAAGTGGTCGAGTTTTCTGATTATCTAGTCCAGGTTTTCAGGACTTTAAAGTGAAAAAATGAAGCTCTAAGTGAGAGGTGAAAATAAAAGGGCATTTTCAGAAATGCACGGTCTCAAAAAATCTACCTCCCTTGAACCTTTTCTCAGGAAGCTACTGGAGGACATGCTCCATCAAAACAAGGCAGTATACAATGTAGAAGGTGATGTGGGATTTGGGAAACAGGACCTCCAGTCCGTGAACACAACTGAGAGGTCCCCCAGGAGAATAAGGGGACAGCTTTTCAGGAGCCAGTCTGGAGAACAAGAATCCAGCTTAGGGCAAGAGAGAGGCAACCCCAGGAGAACTGTCTCTAGAAAAAGATGTAATTGCTAGGTTACCTAGTATGTTTGAAGGTATCAAGATATGAAAAACTCCAGAGACCCTGAGGCTAAATAGTGAGAGGAAATAGAAAACTAAGCAAATGGCCTCATCTTCTATAGTATAAAGTTAATAGATAACATCCTGAAAAAAATCAAGAAATCCAAAGTAAACATGTTATTTAGAAATATGGAGCCAAAGCAGGCATTCGGAGACACTGCTTTCCAGGGCAGAATTCAGGGATGGGGAAAAGTAGAACAAAGGATTCTAGTTTTTCTTTCAGCCATAGACATCTACTTCTATTAAATAGATGTAAAACTTGGATAAAAATAAATAAGTATATAAAATAAGGATGATGGCATAATACACAACATTCATATCATTTTTGAGTTTCGCAGCAAGATCCAAGACAGGTGTCTTTGCATAAGTATTCAAGCAATTAGTCAGTTTTTCAAAAGCAGTTCTTAATCCTTTGATGTACAAACCACTGTCTTTGAAGCACTTATCACATTTTAATCCCTATTGCTTATCTTCTTCATTTGTGAACTGGTTTTATAATCAAATTTTCATTTCTGAATAAGCCATTCTCCAACATCAGGTTAACTAACCTCAAGTTGAAATTCTGCAATTCCACAATCCTGAAGAGACCGACTGACTTATCCAAAAATGTCATTT